TCAAGTAAAAAAAAACGGGACAGAAGAAACTCGTCATTGTCCATGTAGTCAGGGAGAGGTGGGCAAAAAAATGAGATTAAATTTTGGCTCTTTAATATTAATATACTAGCGAATGTGCTCGTGCGTGCAACGGAACCCAATAAGTGTAGGAATTTTGTAGTCCGTATCATTGCTAAATATGAGTTGTTCTAACTTGTACGAACTCGAGTTGTGAATCTGGGTCACATACGAGATACGTAGACCCAAACGTATTGGAATCAGACTCCATATTCATCATCGTTAGATGCGAGTTGTCATAACTCGTATGAGTATGAGTTAGGAGTCCAGATAAAACATGAGGTGAAGGACGTGAGTGCAGTTTGGGAAATAAAAGAAATTAGGACATAGAGCATCTCCAAAAGTACCCAATAATCCTTCCCAATCCATGATTTTTGGGAAGAATGAAAAAAAATCAATCTTCAACAACTCACAAACTCAACTCCCAATCTTTTGGCACTTGGTAAAAACCCCCCTTGCGCGTAGCATCTCCATGAACCCAATAATCTTTCCCAATCCATGATTTTTTTGGGAAGAATAAAAAAACATCTTCAACAACTCACAGACTCACCTCCTAATCTTTTGGCACTTGGAAAAAAACCCTTTGCACGTAAAGATGCACGCAGTCTGGGTCGCGCCCTATCTTCTCCTAAACGCCCATATCCTTCGGCCAATCTAAAGGTGAAATGGCGGGGAAAGAATAAAGAGTAGAAAAAGTGTTCCTGATGCAAATATAAAAGAGAGAAAGAATATATAAAAATGGTTAGGATAATTTAAATATAGTATATGATTTCAGATGTAAAATTATTTGTTATATTTTAGTAGTGAATTATTGGAAACTATTAGAGATAATCTTATTTATTCCTCCAATACTTTTGGGCGAGTTAGAAAATTCCATGGTTTTGGAAATAAATTCTTGGGAGCTCTTGGAGATGCTCTAGAAACTCTCCACTACCAAGTAGACGTTAGTTAGGGAGAGATGGGCGAAAAAAATAGGTGAAGAAAAAATTTCTCTCTTTAGTATTAGGTATAGATAGATATAGGTTATGAGACAGATCTCAGAATAAACTACCGTCAGATCTGGTCCGGTAACTTGTTTTTGAATCCTGGGTCTACAAAATTTCGTGTTGATGTTTTGTTGGGCACTTTTCCTATGTTTTAAATGCCTGAATTTTAAAATGATTTCAGGCAACACTCTTGTATCTCTAACTAGTACAAGTAAATTGTTACTTTTGTGATTTATTATTTATCTTTGTGTCATAATATATCAAATTTTGTCCTTGTCTTCCTATAGAAAATAATTGTAAATTGTTAATTGTCTTTATGCCAACACAAATTAGATTCTGTCGGGTTTGTGGTTTTGTGTAACGGTTTTTTTATTCTCGGTTCCGAAAATTGCAGATTGCGTTTATAGAAATTGCAGCAAACGAAATCTCCAATTTTAGTATAAAATATATGCAATAACCGCCGTCTGAAAGGAAACTAAAATTCAGGCACCTGAATTTTAGCAAATCACGTGGAATTTGTCTCAGCAAGCATCTTAGATTTATAGCCTTGATAATTGTTACTAGAACTGTTTGATCTGTTTTATACCATTTAGTTGTTGTGGAAAAGCCTTGAATGATGAATCAACTTCGAGCACCATCATTCTTTTATGAGCGTGTACTTGAATAATGATCTGTTTGCTCATCATATTTGCACGTTAGTAGTATACTGATATTTATCATTCTAATGTTGTGCTGAGATAGGCTTTGTAGTGGGTTCACCAGTGTGTGACCGCCTGGCTAAACATTTGACAAGACATGAACAGCCAAATAGCAGATTCTACTGATTCTAGTATAGCAATCGTAATCGCATTATAGAAACATGTCTATTTTACAAGTGTCACTAGCATGACCAAAACTATACAAACTAAGCTAACTGAACCAGCATGCCAGCTGCTCCTTCCTGGCGACACAGAGGGGACGCTCCGCGGCGGCGCGTGGTGCTCTCGCGCTTGCTCGTGCCTAAACCGCGGGTTGGACCCGTACAGCAGCAGGACGCCGTCGATGTCGTCCGCGCTGAGCTCCACCTTCCTTCGCATGGCATCGATGTAGGGGTACATGATCGCCTCGGGCGACGACGAGTGCCCTAGCCCGAGGATGTGCCCGATCTCGTGCGTCGCCACGGTCTCCAGGTCCACGGCCGAGTCCCCCGTGTCAGTGTCACTGCCGCCCACGTCCACTGACCAGTGCTCCGCCGCGTCGAAGTGGATGTGCCCGTCTTCCGAGGCGTACGCGTGGGCTAACTCGCCGTACCGCCCGTCGAACGGCGAGCCGTCCCCGTGGTCGCCCTCGTAGAACCCCACCATGATGTCGGGCTTGCCGTGGTCGTAGTCGGTCTCGACGAACTCCACGGGGATCACCCTCGCCCACCGCGCGAACGCGCTCCGGAACGCGGCGCGCACGGCCTCGGGCGGCAGGTAGCCGCCGACGGTGGCCGTAGGCGAGACTGCGTACGTCAGGACCCGCGGGTGCGGGCGCGACCGCGTCCACCGCGGCTGGTCGTCGAGGAACGTGAACCGGCTGCCAGTGCCAGCCGACGCCGCCTCCGCCGAGAGGGACACGGTCACGAACATGCCGTCGCCGTCGGCCACGCCGCAGCGCTTGGTCATGATCCGGCCGAGCGTCGAGAGTCGAGCCGGCCGGTGACCGGCAGGCTGAGGCTGGACTGGTACCGCCTCACGGCGGCCTCCATGTGCTCGTCGAACACGTCGTCGTGCTCGTGCGCCGGCCGGGGCGGCTGCATGTACCCGAACCTCTCCAGGTACCTCTTCAGGTCGGCGAGGCCCGCGACGCGGCTGCCCCGCCGCGCGTCATGCAGGTGCTCGAACGAGCGCCACGAGACGCCGTCCGGAGGCCGGTGCAGCCCTGCAGCCAGCACGGGCCGCGAGGCGGCTACATGGAGGCACGAGAGGACGCCAAGTAGCACCAAAAGGAAGCACGCGGGAGCACGGCCGCACGGGAACACGAACATCGGAGGCCACACAGGAACACGAACAACTTTTAATTACTTCAGGTGTATATATGGAAAGTATAAAGTTTCGGAAACGGAAGTCTCGGAAATCATGAAGTTTTTCTTGTGTACAAATCGGAGTATCGGACACGGAGGTCTATCCTAGTCGGACCTAAACACAGCAGTCTCTGAAACGGTTCCATCGGACACGAGGTCTATTCCTAGTCGGACCGAAACACAGCAGTCTCTATAAAAGCTAGCCATCCCGATCGAGGTAGCGACACATTCTGAATCTGTGCACTTCCGCAGAGATGGCTTGCTCTATTCTGACGCCGCGCATTTCGAGCGTCTGCCACCGTGCGCCGCAGCTCTCCCCGTCGGCGCGGCCGTACCAGTCGGGCCGCGTCGTGTTAGTACAGTGGTCACCGCCGACTCGTGGCTGGTTCAAGCTGAACTTCGATGGATCTGTCTACAACGACGGCTCAGCGCGAGCTAGCATCGGTGGCGCCATCCGCGACACCGCCGGCCGAGTTGTGCTCGCGTTCGCCGAGCCCACGGAACACTCCACGGTTGGCATCGTGGAGGCGCGCGCGATGATCCGCGGTCTTCGTCTAGCGCTTGGGCTCCACCTGCAGCGGCTCGTGGTCGAGGGAGATGATCTCGTGCTGGTGCAGCTGCTGCGTGGCGAGGAGACGCAGACACGAATCCCCATGGCGTTGCAGGAGGAGATCCACGGGCTGCTTCGCTGCTTCTCCGGGTGCGACGTCAAGCACGTGTATCGGGAGGGAAATCAGGTGGCGCACACTCTCTGCCGCCAGGCCTACCATTGCCCGGGAGTGTGGGTAGGGATCGTGCCGTCCGTCGTGTTTGACAAGGCCGAAGAAGATCGACGTGGCGTGTTGCACGAGCGTGCTGTGGTGGTCCGCTGATCGACGAAAGAAGCTGTGGTGGTCCGGTGATCGATGAAAGAAGCCCTGTGCAAGAAGGCGACCTTTTGGAGAATGGAGAGTGAGGCGACACAATCCGGGTCAAGAATGAGGACGTACGCAAGTGTGGCAGAATGAACAATGAAGGATCAACAGCGCCTAAGCTTTCCAGGAAATGCGAGCAAAGCACCGTGAACCAGAGTTGATGCGCGAGGATCATTAAGGCTGCTTTGGATAGTTATGTTTAAATTTTTTTCCTTGTGTACAAATTACACAAGTGTTGATGTATTGTTATTGAAAGAATTATTCAATCTGCGACGTATTGTATCCCTATATGATTATCATTTTTTTAATGTATAAAAGTTGTTGACGATTCCTGATGAAGTCCAGTTTTAGGAAGCATGCTACAATGCGTTTGTGATAATGATAACGCGAAACTGCAAATGACAATTGACAACGCTTCCGGCCACTCAACTCTTCCCGATAAATCGGCCACTGCCAGCAGCTGGAGCTCGTGCAGCCGCCTCTTCTCTCCTGAATTAAGCTGCGGTAACTCCACGCCATCACTAGCCCCCTTCACTCCGAGGTATCAAAATCGGCAACTACTGTTTTATATAGTTTTAACACATGAATTTTTTACACTATAAAAGCAGCTGGAGCTCGCATAATGCAAATCCGCCTCTTCTCTCCTGAATTGGCGGTGGCGTGGTACTACATGACGGACTGCCATCACACCAGGCCCACCTGTCCCGTGGTATTTTCACTCGTTCAGGTATCAATGGCATTATCTGACAACATTGACTGTATTTGAAACCCTGCCAAAGACTACCCTCCAAAATGAATCGAATCGAATCAGCTGCTAGTTGAATCCATCTCTGATCTAAAATTGTTTATTTACAACAAAGAATTTCAGCTCTCTATCAACAATCCCTAACAAAATTTTGGCGCATTTGGGGAGGGGAGCATGAAAGGAAGTTAAAGTAAAACAATGTTGGAATGCTGTCCGTTAGATGTGCAGTTGTATAGGGGCAAAATTGACAGGATTTACAGTTGAATTGCTTCCTTCCCGTTAGTTCGATGAGTTCGTCTCGAGCTTGATTTCTTATCCCGTGTTCGCTTCCCTGATAACTTCTTGGTTGCAGAAGCCTTCCATGGTTCCTTTGCGGCATTGTCTGGAAGCATCTTTCTAGGTTGGTAGCGCACAATGGGAGGCCGCTGGGGAGGCCAACCTCGTAAGGTAGCCTGCCTCTGTTCCAACAGTTCTCGGTGGTACGACTGTAAAGTAAGAATGGTGTAAGAAAAAAATAAGTAATCAATAATAGACAAAAAGAATAGAAGGTTAGTCGTTCTGGAATAAGCAGGCCATCACAAAGAATGTGCTGTTTTCCCAAAAGCAAAATCCTAGTTCTATAATCTATCAGCAATTTATGTCATAGCAAAACAGCGCACAGAAAATCAGTGGCAATAAATCAAACAAGAAAAACTGAAAAATACCTGAACAACGAAATCACGCCTTTCACAATCCAGGAACATGTCTGCAGTCCAATTAACTCGCGACCTTATTTTATCCCTAACTGTGCTGAAGCTTAGCTGATCTCTGGACGTGAAGCGGTCAACTTCATTGAACCAAAGGCATGTAAACAAGTTTGTTATGGGGATATGTTCCCTAATTATCACACAGCCCTCCGGGACGTCTGTTAATCAGAGTATACAGATATCAGGCAGGTATGCAGTGTTAGCAATATTAATAGGTCAGGGATCAGGGGGGAGAAGTAACTACCACTCGTTATAGGAAGCTTGGCTGATGAATAATGGGTTAGACCCTCTCCTTTGTAGAACTCTATCTGGTAGTCAATTGATGTGTTATCATATTTTCCACCAGCCTTGTTGGCCTCAGCTTCCTCAAAAACATCGAAGCGTCTGTAATGCCTGGAAATAGCAAAGCTAACATTCTTCCTCCACAAGAACCTGTAACATAAGTGTAGTTACACAAATCAAAACAAAACGGGACAAAACTGATAGAGCAAATGGAGCATTAGTCGCACTGGCAACTAGAGAACTTAATTTCTAACAGCATATCTAATTGTTCCCTGAGCTATGCGAAGAGTACATAGTGCAAAACAAGTGACGGTTTACCTTTCTAATACCTGATAAGGATCCCTCACCAGCTTAAGTTTCCCATCAATCCAAATTGAATATTGCACATTAGGAAAAAGCCGATGAAGTAAGAGCTTTGGAACCTGTTGGAGGAAAAGATCACAGGGGCCATAAATGATAAAACCAAACCCAATAAACTTGTTGATTCTGATTTGCATTAACGAATGTCAAGCAAACATTCAGAATGGGATAACAAGGATAATATGGAGTCCAGTATTCCCTATTCACTTCATGGAGAAAAACAAAAAACAACATGGTAGATTGCGAACAACACAGGTTTGGCTGAGAAAAATCAAAATCGCCAACTGCACAGGTACCTTTCCATTGAGCCTAGCATCTGTAAATGGTAGGTTGCGGACAACAACTACCCGCCACAGCCCGATTCTTTTAGTATGACCAATAGTAGTGGAGTTCTTTATTTTTTTTTGAACGTACGTAGTGGAGTTCTTTATTGCAGCTTCTGTTTCTTCATCCAGAAACATAAAGAAGCAAACTGTATCTTTTGAAAATTTGCTGATATTTTCTGGTTGTTGCATTACATCATAATTACCTGCGGAGTTTGTAAGCAAGTGTCCACAGTATTTGTAAGCAAGTGTACAAGCAATTTGTAACGAGGACTGAAATCCAAAGCAGTAGTTACCAAAAATAGCGGAGGCAACAACAGTCCTCTGGCACAGCTGCATCTCAGAACGATCAGCTTCATCTATGTCAAACCCAGTATTAAGACCAGGTATCTTCCCTCTTATAAATCTGGAGACAAACAGTAGGTTAGCTACAGCAAAAGGGATACTGATTTTGTAAACAGCCATTAAATGATCTCGAGATAAAGTATATGAAATGTATGGGCATACCCACAATGTACAGTCATCGAGTCTTTTATGTCATAAGACTTATCTCGTTCCTCCAGGGATGGAAAACCTCCAAACAAAGAACCACTCTTTGACTCTTTGGGAATCAAATTCTCTTCAAACATATAATTTAATCTTTGAAGGACTGGTGACAATGATGGTTTAGCTGGTCTCAGTGCCAGAGCTTGCTCAACTGGCAAATAACAAACTGGACAGGCTATACAAGATTAAAATACATTAGTTTAGATTCAGAACTAAACTAGCACTGAATTGGAATAGTCAGGAATGTACACTTACGTCGTGGTCCAGTGCGTTTCCTATCAATAGGTGGAGGAGACAATGAGAAATTTTCACAAGAATGGTGATCCATAACAACAGCTGGTGGAAAACTCTGTATGAGTTCCTGAACTTGTTGTTTGCTATCGGATTGTTTTTCCATCTGTGATGTTGTATTCAAACCATTCACAGTCAGCGAACCTCTCTGAGCTACTGGTCTGCCCGACAATGTCCAAACAGGGTTCACAAAGCTCCGGACATGATCAGAAAACACAAGCATGGTCTCAACACCAGGTGATGCATCTTCATCTAAAACAGAAAAAAAATATTAGTAGGTCAATATTGGAACACACATACTATGGTGAAAAAAAGGACAAGAAAACATATACTTACAACTGAATGTTACATCTTACTTCAGTATGGAATTTTTTACAACAGATTTTTCAGTCCGGTTATTATTCAAACTAATAAAGTTTAGCACACAACATTGGGTTTCGCAAACAGAAATCCAGTTGAATCACTAACATGGACAGATGCATGTGAAAAATGTGTTCTAACTGCAGCTGCAAGCTCAGAAATATGTTAATGGCATTAGCTGTAGTAGGAGATAGATTTCTTGTTTGGCATATTGCTAGAAAAACATTCAATTACACCAAATGGCAGTGAAATTCTTTTCTTATTTTCTCAATAAATTTGCAAACTAATGAAAAACTGGAGCAAGAAGATGGCGTGCATCTATAAGTAGAAAGTCATCCCCTAAAATTTGTCAGACCTTAACTTGGCATCACATAGAATATTTTGTCCATTAGGACCTTGATATAAGGTTTGGAAACCTTTAGCTTCCCACTGCTTCAGGAGGGGAATAAGACCCCAAGTATTAAATTAGACTCAGAAGAAACAAACCAACCTTTTGTCATTGTAATTTGTAAATTGTAAGTTGGTAACAATGAAAGAGCATGGAAATTGGCTTCTTGACGAAATGGACCAAATATTCTAGTGAATTATTAAATGTCAAATTAAAATGGTCAGCAGAAGCCAAATGAGGTGCATACTGAAAAGAAAGGACCAGGCACAAACACAAATGTGCAGTTTACCTATAACGATTTTAAACAAACAGCTGTTGCAATATGAGCCCATCTACAAAGCTGGCACCACAAAGGCACAACCCTTGCTAGAATCATCACCAGGTATAAACTTGTAGAAATGCCTAAGCCACATTAGTTAGATCAAACACTATATCTCTCAACAAGTATGTACTTCAGTTCCAGAAAACTGGCTGATCCGCAGTCAGAACCATAGAATTCAAAACTTCAGATCGCACTCCCAATATTATTGTTCAATCTCTCAATGCAAATCGCCCAGACATTGAGACTGATCAGAGTGGCCTGGACTGCAAGAATATAATATACTAATGCCCTTTGCATCATATCAGTCAGCTAAAGTCAAAGTTGATGCAGGATAAAGAATGCGCAATAACACACGCTAAGATCCAAAAACACATGTCTAAATAAACATAAAGTGTGCATAAGGTACAGAGAAACATTGACGTGGATTATAGAATAATATCACTTGCAAGTTGCACTGTGTCATTTCCCTGAACTTACTGGCTACACAATCGCGATAACAATTCGCAATATATAATCTAGTCTAGTGACTGAAACAGCATCATGGATTAGAACTGGAACACGAGGCAAGGCAACCACCACCTTTACTGACAAGTGATGAGAAGAGGAAGCAGAAGGCGACGGCGACGGCGACGAGGAGGAGGAGGAGCATCCGCTGGTGGCGTCCGGCGAGCTTGCAGATCCGGGCGAAGACGCGCGGGCTGCCGGCGCCGGCGCCGGCCCCGCCGAGGGACATCTTCGCGGGCTTCCGCGCGGCGAGCGGCGGGGACGGCGACGGCGACGGCGACGACTGGCAGCCGCCTAGCTGCTGCTGCGGCAGCGATCCGTAGCTCCCCGACGACCTGACCCCCAGCGACGCCCCGCCGCTCATGCCGCCACCGAAGGGGCAGATCCAGCTTTCGGTGCTGGGATGCACGGGCGCACCCCGAATTTTTTCAGCTTCCACATATACCCCTCGCTGTAACTCACGAGTGATTCGGGCTCGTGATCACTGGCTCGGCCCGGGCATGCGCAGGCAGCGCAGCGGCACAGTGCGGTGAAAAAAATGAAAATGACGACCAAGAAACTTGGTTTCTGAATGAATAAAAAAGTGTATTCAGTGTGCATACTGCACTTTCTGGTTTTACCCGCGCGCTTTCAGCAACTCTTATGTTTTGTGGAAATTCATAAATTTGTAGCCCCGTTTCCTAGTTTAGTTTGGACGCATAAATTTCGCATGCATTTTACGGGCTCGCATGCGCTCCAACCAGAGAATCGAAGCCTAGGAGTTGCGCGTGTACTCTTTCCATATATTGTCTCTTTCGTTGCAAACTTGCTATACTTTTTCGATGTTTTGGGTTCTAACGTGAAAGTCAGAACACGTGCGATCAACGTGTGGGGGCTTTCTATTATGAAGAAAGCTGGTCTTTCCAAACGATAATGCTACGCCATGGGCGTCGGTCCATCCGGACTGACCGACCCACCCGCGCCGCCCACCTATGTATGGCACGCCCCCGCCCCACTCCGCGCCTCACTGCTGCCGCGCCCAATCCGCCTTGCTCCCTCCCCTCCCGTTGCACGCGCAATCTGCTCCCACCCGCCGCACGCGCTGCCTGCTCGGCTGAGCCAAGGTCGGTGCTAGTGGTGCTGACGTTGGTGGTGCTCACGTGCCGCTGCTCGCCGCCGGCTCCCACACCAACGCCTAGAATCAACCGGCCCCAGCCTTCCCTAGGTTGCAAAACGCATGTTTGAAGTGTTTTTAAATGTTTAAGACGTATGTTTAAGATGTTTTATATGGATGTTGCAATGGCTATACACGTATGTTGCAAGAGTTTGTTCAAAATATTTCATCTATTTTATAAACATGTTGCAAGTGTTTTATCTAGATGTTGCATATGTTGCAATGGCTATGTTGCAAATGTATGTTCCAAATATTTCATCTGATTGAGACCTATGTTGATCTGAGTGTTGTAAAAGTAGATTTGGATGTAAGGTTATTGAGCGAGGAAGAGAGAGCTAGCGCGGGAGCCATGGCGGCGACGATGTGGATAGGCACGCAGCGCCGATGTAGAAGAGGCGGGGGAATCATCCGAGCGGCATGGAAGAGACGGGCGAAGCGGTGTGAAAGAGGCGGGCGAGGCGCCGGTGTGGAAGAGATGGGGTCGAGTCATCTAGGTGGCATGGGCAGTGGAGCGGAAGGGAGCGGTCCAAACGCGGGCACGGGAAGCGGAGCTGGCACTGGCGGCACGCGAATCCAAGAGACTAGGACGGAGCAGGCGCGGGCGTCCGGACACACGCAACCATCTGAATGCCCGAGCGCTAGTCTTTCCGCTTTTCGAAATCGTGCCGACGAGGTAGCACCTATAAATTACCTTTTTGAAGTAAAATGGTGAGAATGATGTCAGACGGTGCTAACTGAACCCATGGTTTGCAACACACAACGCATTTGTTTTGCGTCTACGTCCGTCATACTTCTTTTGATGTACAATAACTTTTTATTGTACATAACTCTAGTTTTACTTCAAGTCAAACTTCTCTAATTTGAGTCAAATTTATAGAAAAGTATATTACTATATATAATATTAAACTAGTTTCATTACATCCACCATAAAATATCATTGGTAGTGTGTTTATTTAGTACTTTAGATGTTAATGTTTTTTTTCCTAATTTGGTCATGTTCAAGATGGACAGTGAGGCAATGAGGCTATTAGATCCTTACATCAGATTTTGAGGTGATGGAGGTAGAGCGATCGGCAGCAGCGGTTTATAATCCGTGTGGGTACACGCGTGAAAGGTGAGGGGAAACCAACACAGTAGAAAAAGCAGGGTCTCTGGGAGAGACCCTTAGAATGAGGGCTTGAGGAGGAATTTTAGGACCTAAGTAAGAGCCCTGCTACAAATTCGTTTTCCCTCTTTAGCTGTCGGAGTTGTTCTTACAACAATGTTTTATGGCAATTATTTATTTTTCATTAACTTTCCACAACTAAAACATGGAATGAAACCTAACTGAACACATATTCATTAGCTTCATTTCATGATTATTTGGTTTGGTTGCTCTCCTGATGTACTCTCATGGATGAACCGTTGGCGTCAGTAGCGGTGGAGTTGAACAGTCCAAGCTAAAAAGAAAATCATATTGTATTATGTTATACATGTTCCACAAACTAACAAGTAAGAATTAATTTATGCTTGTCATACATGATAATTACTCAACAAAGATAAAATATTCCATGAATTTTTCTCGTAAAAAGATAATAGTAATTACTTACTTCCACATTTAGTTCCAGCTGGCAGTGGCTTGGCACACACCTGTATAGCCCCAACAAATTTTTTGGGCGCTTATGAAGTGCTCATCTTCAACACTAATATTATGACAAACACAAATCATATTAGCTTTTCGTATAGCTTGACAACATTTGCTGCTTGGTGGGGCATTCTCAATGCCATTTCTTATGGTTTTGTCACAGTTAACAAAAACCACCACCTTCTGGTAATAACAATCACCCTCACCCGAAGCTTGATGTCCTATAAATATAGTAACACACAAAGGCAAAGACAACAACTAAAAGGATTTCTTTTATAGTCATCAAGGAGACTATTTCCTCTATTTTAGCTTGAGAAATGATGAATATTGTCAATTTCGCTTGGTCCTTGCATCATGGACATCTACTTATAGTATATAGGGTTCAACATGACTACAATGTAGAGTCATAGAATCCTCCAATGGATATTAATTATCACTTCCACAATCTAAGTCATAAAGGACAAAAATAAATATGTAGAAATCTTTGAGCAAAATAACAATTATACATTGAAATATGAGACAAAGAAAATAATAAATGCCAAGAAATCATGGAATCGTGATGTAGGCAACATGGATATGCCCCATTTAATATGTTTGCCTTACCAAGAGGGCTAAAAAAAGCTTGTGATGCTTCTCATGTAGATTAAGAGCAACAACAAACAGAATTCCACAATACTCTCGTTGAGAGTGGTATGATGAACACAACATCAAGCATGAATTCTACACCACTTACACCAATCAACAAAATCAAGTTATTGAACTAAAGAACAACATCCTAATCACACTAGCATGTGCTATTCTAGATGATTGTGAGACACTAGAAATGTTTTATGTGGAGGCAATCAACACGTCATGCCATGCCTCCAACCGTGTCTATTTTCATTTACTACTAGAAACGATACCATATGGACTTCTTATTGGGAGGAAGCCCAATATCATCTATTTATTTAGATTTTTGTGGTAAATGCTACATTTTCAATAAGAAAAGGCTTGTTAAGTTTGAAAGAATATGTGATGTTGGATTTCTCCTAACTAATATAATGACAATTTAGCTAGGAGAAATTGGAGTGGAAGTAAGACTTATTTTGTTGCTTCTATAGTAGTAAGTTGAAAAACACTTGGTCAGATTTAGAGAGGTTTGACCTATAGCAAAACTAAAATTAAACTATAATATAATGTCGAATGGAGGGAGCAGGCAATGGGAAATCGTGGGATACAAGTTCAATGTATCCTTGCTGTCATTGTGATTTATGACAAAGTTTTTACTCTCAAACCCACAGACCAACTATTAACAAGGAATGATACTTCCTCCATTATAAGTTGTAAGTCGTTTTGTTTTTCTAGATACATAGCTTTTGCTATATATATGTAGACATAATCTATATCTAGATATACAACACAAAACCTATATATCTAAGACCTAGCTATAGTCGGTGGCGGATCTAGAAACAATGCAAGAGGGAAGCTAAATAGTAGAAGGCTAGAAATCCTATGACATATCAAGGTCGGGTGGGGCTGAACGCCTAGACTTTGAACTGTTTCGGATTGGAGACTGAAGAGGTGTTCTTAACTGTTTCGGGCCATGTCCCGGAGTTCACATCCACCCCTGGCTATAGCGGTCTAGAATAACTAAATTAGATGTGAGTACAAATAGCGGTGTAGTGCCAAAAACAATTGTAGCTGGTTATAGCGGCATCTAAAGCCGGCTATTTATTTTCCCGCTAGAAAACAACTTATAATTTGGAATGGTATCTCTTTTAACTCTCTTTATTTGGCAAGCCAAACAAGAAGGTCTTGGAGTTAAATAATGTGCATCCCCAGCTCGCAATGAGTCCCCTCTGTCAACTTCTACCTCTACTTAATTTGCATCTCTGCCTATAGCTTGTCAGACGAACCCTCATTCCGTGACACCAAATTGCTTCAACCAAATGCAGCCTGAGGGATCCACTGGCGGTAGGCGGCAGCGCATGCTACGCGTGAACACTGAATAGTCCCATGCTTGGTGGGAGAGAATCAAACAGTATCGACGAGTCATCAAGCAAATCAAAGGAATAATATAACGTTCGAGTTCTCAGTCCATGCGTTCAGCGTTCACATGCCAATAAGTCGTGCATCCGGCATCCCACGAAATTAAGCACCATCGAACTCCGGCCGGGTCCGGGATTCTGTGTACGTGAAAAACGCGCAACAAGGAACAGAGATCCGACCCCCTGTTTTGGAACGAAAACGTGATACCCAACGCAACCATGCCTGACTACAGGTGAAAGCCGCCAAGCCGGCCTCTTCCTGCAATCCTGCATGCAAGGGCGGATCCATATTCATGGCGGTGGATGCGGCTGCACCCACGAAAATTCTAAAAACAGTGATTATATTTAATTTTTTACTATATATACACCCATACGATAAAAATCCATGTACCACAAAGCTAGCGCATCCTCATTGAATTTTCTGTAGCTCAGCCCCTGCCTGCATGCGTGTCGCTGCACGTGTGTCGTCGTCGTAGCGTCAAGTAACCGGTGCCGGGGCGCTTATGTGCGTCGCCGGCCTGCACTGTGCTTTCATCCATTCACCCGCCTATCAAGCATGCAGCATCAGCCATCAGCCGGTGGAACCTCGTGCGGGAACCCCGTGGAAGCGTCTGGTAGCGGCGTCGCGTCGGCGTGCACGGTGACGGTACGGTGTCTTCTGGAGCGCTCGGCACGGCATCGCGTGGTACGGTGGCGTGCCGGAGATCTATCTGCGGCCGGTAGGAGGAGAGTGGAGAGGCTAAGCACGGACAGCGTGTAGCGGGGCCTGCCGGTGGAATGCATGATTGAGGCCGTGGGACGCGGGGGATTGACGTGGGCGACGGATTCGCTCAGCCGGCGGATTCTGTCGCACCAGCTACATACTGGTTGGTTACTTTCTCTCAAAAAAAGGCTACTGGTTGGTTCAGGAAAGAAGACCCCGATCTAAAACGCAGCAGAAATGCCATTAATAGCTTCAGAGTGAAATTTCGTTCCACACAAGCAATGTAAAAAATGTTGGACACCATCACCTATCAATATATGTCTGTTTCTATATGGAGCCGAAAGGAATACATGCACCGGCTTCTCTCTCCCCTCTCAGATAACCGTTTTTCTCATCGCAATTCGCTCTTCGACATTCCTTATGCTCCACATGAATTAGGAATACCAATACCTCTTCAGGTCACTATAAACATCTGTGAAATCACTATTCTTCGTGATATGGAACTGCACGCATACGTGAAGGCTGGGGCAACACATCATCTTGTTGCGTTAGGGAAGTCTTGATGACCTTGTCCTTATTGGAGTACTAATCAGAGGATTCGTACTGTTTCCTGATAGAGCTTAAGCAGAAAGCCATTTGACATTTCTTTTGAAATTGTTGATCCGATCAAGGAAAATGAACTCGTGTATCTGACTGTGCCTACTTTCCTCTTCGCTTACCCGAAGAAATTAAAAGGAAATGAGCTGGTCAGTGATCACTCCGTGAGCTAGCAAACCAGCAATCCGCAGGCGATCAGGACGATCTCCAGACGTAGATCCGTCCGTGCTGTTCGACCCATTATATTCTAACCAACCTGGCCTGATCCGTTCTGACGCGGGTCCCACAACTACAGTCCCAACCATTGCCGGCTCGCCACGTCCCCCACATCCCCGGCTGGAAGCAAACCCACCAAGCTGCAGCCACAGAACCAGCGCGGCGCGACAAACTTTGTGGCGATTAAGGAGGGAACCCAGCAGCACACAGCCAAGCCTCCCGCGCAAAGCGAGCTTCGGCGAGGATGGTTGTTGGTGAGGCGGCCGGCGGCGGCAACGAGATGAGCCTGTCCAACATGGTGCTGGGCTTCTACGAGGAGGCCGAGAGGGAGATGAGGTGGCCGGAGGACGCCACCGCTACCGCCGGCGATGGCAGCGACGACGACGACGAAGGGTCCAGCCCCAGAGGCGGGCGCGCCGAGAGCGCGGAGTTCTGGCGGGAGCAGCGCTCGCTGCTGCATGTAAGTTCCTTCCCCTTCCCAGTTCCCATCGATGGATCCTGCATTTGTGCTCATCACGCGCCGCGTATTGTCTAGCCGTGACGACGTGACAAATGCGTGCGTACGTGTAGGCAGCGCTGGCCAAGACGAGCTCCGCCGAGAGCCGGATCCAAGCGGACACGGAGGAGGCCGTCAGGCAGATGCGCGCCACGCCCGGCGGCGTCTGCTCCTGCGTGACCCGCGAGGCCCCGGCCGCGGGAGGCTGCCGGGGCTGCGCGCTCCGCTTCGTCGCCGAGCGGCTGCGCGACGCCGGCTACAACAGCGCCATCTGCAGGTCCAAGTGGTCCCGCACTCCGGAAATCCCCTCAGGTAATAATAGTCGCTCTGGAACGAGCATGTGGCCAACTTTTTGGCCAGATCGTAGTGGTTGTTCTTGCTGCATCTTTTCAGCTATACGGAGTAGGCTGCAAGTGGAAAGGTCCATCTGTTCTTTTTTGTCCGGTTACAAAAAATAGTTGTGCGTGATGTGTAATGGCACGACTGTGCTGTGCATATTAAACTCACATGCATGTTTCACATGGCCTGGCCATCATCGCCAACCACACCAAGTCTGATGAGTGCACACCGTTTCTGAATTTCTGCACGCGTTCGTGTGCGCAGGGGAGCACAGCTACGTGGGAGTGGTGGTGCCGACGAGTTCGAGATGGCGCGGGGCGGCGCGGAGTACAGGGCGCTGGTGGCCGCGCTGCCGGACCTGTTCGTGGGCCGCTCGGAGAAGCTGCGGGCCGTCGTCAGGGTCATGTGCCACGCGGCCAGGCAGTGCACGCGCGAGAGCGGCATGCAGGCATGCACATGGCCCCCTGGAGGAAGCACCGGTACATGGAGGCCAAGTGGCTCGGCACGCCGGAAAGCACCGGAGCTGGAGGGGCTGCGGTGGCGGTCGGCTCGCCCGAGAAGCAGCCCAGGTTCAGGGCGTCCGTGCTCACGCTCGATTTCGGCGGCCGGACAGCGGTGGAGGTCGTGTGATCTGTGATCACTACTCACCGATGACGATGAATAATCCATGCAATGATGAGAGAACGAGTATTTACTGTGTACGTGTGATACATCTCCTGGTTTCTAACGACGATGGATGGATATCTGGTGTGAGTGATCACGGTTTACTAAGATGCCACAGCGCGAGGACCTGAATACGATGATGTAGATACAGATGGTGCGGTCGTGGGACAGGCGCCTTATCCGGAACGACAGTTCAATGGTACAATGCTACAATGTCCAGCTGAGCAAAAGATACGGAAATGTTACAGTGTAGGCGTCTGACCGTCAGGACGACGTGCTTGCTGGGCCTGTGCACTTCCTTTTACCTTTACTTTTTCATCATTTTCAAAATAAATAAAAATAGACAGCGACATTCCCAACTAGCATAGCCGTTGTGGCATTCCCTACCACTCGCCTGCCGCCGCCTTCTCCAGCGGCGACCACCTCCGCTTCCTCCGCCCCGGGGCCCTCGCTCGCCTCGCCTCCGCGACGTCAGACTACGCCACTGGAGTCCCGCCGCCCGCCCCTGCCCTCATCGCCGGAGTCAGGATGGCGTCCTCCTCGTCACCTCCTCCTACAACTGGAGACCGCGAGGGCGTCGCGGCCGTGCCGTACTTCATGCTCGCATCGAGGCTCCACGCGCCCCGGTGCCACCAGCGGAAGAAGCTCGCGACATCCAAGCCCGTGGTGCTCTTCGCTCTTCGCTTCTCAACGCGCCTAACATGGTGGCCGCCTCCCACTTGAGTGCCGCGAGCGTATGAGTGTTTCAGATGTTCTAGAGGTATGTTGCAAGTGTTTCATATTGATGTTGCAAAAGTAGGTCAGGATGTTGTAGATGTTGCAAAGTGTTCCATAGGCATGTTACAAGCGTTTGTCTAAAATATTTCATCTATTTCAGACGTATGTTGCAAGTGGTTTTATATGGATGTTGCATATGTTTCACACATATGTTGCAAGAGTATGTTCGAAATGTTTAAGTTGTTTCAGTCTTATGGGTGCAATAAGTGTTTTCATGTTGCAAGTTGCAAGTGTTTTATCTAGATGTTGCATATATTTCATACACATGTTGCAACTGTATATTCCCAATGTTTCATTTTATTTAGACGTATATTGCATTCAAGTGTTTCATGTTACACTAGCATTTTTTGTGTGTTTTAGAGGTATGTTCAGAGAGTCACTGGGCCACGCCTAGGCACCGTGGGAAGGAAGCGTGGCGGGGGGGGGGCAGATGCGGCGCGCGGCACGCCTATGGTCTTGCTGACGGGGCGTGCTCGTCCTCATCCCGACTTCCGCCCGGAGAGAGAGGAGGGGGTTAGGGGGAAGGAGCGGCGGGTGTGGGTCGGGGTGTGGCGGACGGGGGCAGGGTACGCGTGCAGGGCGGGACGAGGCAGACAGGGAAGGACTACAACGATACGGTGAAAGTGTGGCGCGTTTCTGATGGGCCGTTCTGCTGAGCCATTTGGTACCGTCCGACGGAATCTTATCCCATTATTGGACGTCCGGGCACTGACAATTGCCCAAAAGATATGGTGACAATTTTCTGATTCAGCTCGAAGGCATAATTTTGCTGCAGCACTGTAGCAGCGGCAACCGCTGTTTCTACAGTAACGTGTGAAATGGAGTTGCCGCCGCAGCTGCTGCTGAAAAAAAAGGCTTCCGAACAGACCTGAGCTCCCGATGTACCATCCATCAGGCTGTTTGAGACTGATGCCGCATGGCACTGCGTGTACAGTACTGAAGAAGCTGCTTGAGAAGTGGTCACAATTCAGAAGTAGGGTAGCTTGTTTGCAATTTGTCTTATGACGACTGCCTGCCCGTATTTTTAAACCTTTGTTCAAAATCAATCAGAATCAAAGCGTTCATATATCTCTAAACCTTTGTCCAAAATCAGAATGACAGGGTTTTGGGCAGCCCTTACAGAGTTGATCCTGATTATCAGTGTTGGCCCTGGAAAGGCTGGATTTCCCCCGGACCCCGGGTCAACCAAATATGTTAACGTCCTTACATAGCCAAACATTAATTTTCTTAAGGTTTTTAGTCTCAGTTATCTTCGACACCAACATGCTAAGATAGAATTTGTTAAGGTAGCCAAACAAGTATTTACTGTGCTCCCCCCAAAAAAATTGATGTATGTACCGTGTCCGAGTATATACCATGAAGAGATCTCTGGTCTCTCAACAAAAAACAAGAAAGATTCAATTTACACAGTTGCTACCTACCAGATAACAAGCTACTAAGAACAAGAAGAAACTACAGTAACTTTGGGGGTGGAGGTCCGGAAAAATCAGGTTGAGCGTATGACAGCCTCTGGATCCAGTTGCCAGACGACTTCTTGTTTTGATCATTGCATTCCAGGGGCTGGCAGATCGAGATTGGGATCTTGTCGAGTGTTCCATCTGTTTCAAGAGCTGTCTTGAAGTTTTCAAGGATTGAAACTATTTGCTGAAACTCGGGCCTCTTTTCTGGGTTCCAGGACCAACATTGCTCAATCAGAAGCTTCAGAGCTGCTGGGCAGCTCAATGGAATAGCCGGTCTCAAGTTCTGAAATGAGATCCATGTCTGTAAGTAACTATCACAAACTAAAGTCTAAACTAGCAAAAATAGTAAACTCGTTGACCTGATATTCTTTCTTCTTCCTTCTTGAAAACACTGGATATGAACATTTTGTTCTCAGTTCTTACCGATCATAGAACTCCAAACTATACATAAACTGATAAACAGGCCGGAGATGAACCCCTCGCTATCTATTTACACAATAAATTGAAGTAGCCAGCACAGTGAAGATAAAATAGTTAGAAGAGGACACACACCTTATTAACAACTGCAAAAGCTGCCTGAAGCGGAGTCATATCTTCATAAGGGAGTGAACCAGTGACCAATTCCCACAAGAGAAGTCCAAAGCTATAAACATCAACCTTCCGGCCATATGGCTTGTGCTTGTACATCTCTGGTGCCATCCATCTATAAGTACCTGGATCATCCCCTAACAAATTGCAGTATGTTTCTTCGCATGCCACTCCAAAATCGACGACCTTAGCGCAGAATTCTCCATCAAATAAGATGTTCTCGGGTTTGATGTCACGGTGCACAATTCCTTTGAGGTGAATATATTCCAGGCCATGTGCGATATCCAAAGCGATGGAAATGACCTTCTCCAAAGGAAGAGTTTTACGCTCCAGCTTTCGCAAGAAAGCCCTCAAAGAACCCCCAGACAAAAACTCAGTGATGACACAGAAGACCGGTGGGCAAGTACAGGCCCCAACAAGCTAAACAAAAAAATGGGAATGAATTAGAAAAACTGGTTTTATAGTAATATATGTTGGAAGATTACTACAGAATCTATCCTCTGAAATATTGAATTTGCCATATAGCCTTTGTCGGGTAATGTTGATAAGTTAGTAGCAACGAAAATACTTTAGCTTCATTTGTCTGAATTATTTCGAGGATACATGCAAATCAACAGTCCCGTATGCCATATATGATTGAAAAATATGATAACCTCGATTAAACTGAAATAGGCCAAATGAGTCAAAGCCATTCCACTAACAAGAATATTCCTATACATACTTGTTGTCTCTATGGGAAGATGCTTGTGTTGTACTCCTTATTCCTCAACGAATAACAGTTAAAATATTGTGGTACAAAAGGAAATTCATGTTTGTAGAATAAAAGCAGAGAATAGAGATGTCTCACATAATTCCTGTCCTAAACATGTGCCAACACTCTGCAATATAATGCCGATTAGCTGATGCATGTTCGAATGTTAATTATTTCAAATGTGCATTGTACTGAACCAACCATAAAATAGGCCAGTCCTATCTTTCAGCGAAAAAGGGCATCAAACATTCCTAACTTTGACCATCTAAAAAAAATGTAGTTTCACATCATGTGAACTATATATTATGAAAGTATAATTTCCATAGTGAATCTAAAAACATAAATCTTATGCTGTTAACCTATACAATTTTTTTTTTAAAAAATTGATGGTTAAAGATAGAGATGTTTGACTTATGACAAAACTAATGAAACAAGTAAAATAAACGAGAGAGCATATGCATATTGGATTGTTCCATGAATAGGTAGAAAATCGTAACTACACAAGAAATATGTAGTAGTTATCATGATCCCATTTACAAAGCAACATGCACAAGTTCACCGCCAATTCTATGCAGAGCACCTCAACAAAATGTTACATGAAAGTTCACATGGTTACCTTAATGACATTACGATGTTGGAGCCTTGCCAGAATGGTAACCTCTGAAGTGAACTGCTTCTCAAGCTTAGCAGACAATTCGTCATCCTCGCCATCGTCAGGCTGCCTGATAAACTTCACAGCAACAGGTTGCTCCTTGTAGATCCCATGGAACAATCGGCTATACGCCCCGGATGCAAATCTATGGCCGATGAGCAACTCAGAGCGATCAACCGTCCACTTCTCAAGGATCTCCAGTGCAGCAACTTTTGCCAGTCCACTGTCAACGTTCCTTCCCGGCCATGAGGAGGTTCTGCTATTAATCTTCAGTTTGCTTGGTGTTCTCTGCGAAGCAAAGCCGAATGGAGGGCTGTCATCTGGTGACCGTGGGGATGTGGGCTTCCTCTGCCGCTGCGGGCTGGAGAACCTCTTGGTGGCAGCTTTCGCCTCCTTGAACACATCCGAGATGACGCGCTTGGGGACAGGGGACTTGGCTCTTCTTTTCGGCTTCGACGTCAGCTTGGACACTTCTCCGGTCACCTTCATAGATGCACTGCGCACTCTGGAATCATCAGCTGTTGCTGTTGCATCCTTCATAAAGAAAGGAGCCGGGCTGGAACACACTCTCTGGAGCCTCTGGCTGTGCTCGTCCGAGTGGAAAGAGAAATCCAGCGCGTCTGGGCTCTCCTTGGATGGCCGAACCACATGCCGCTGAGGAATGTCCAAGTTCAGGCCGACGACCCCCTTCCGGTCCTGCTTCGCCGATGACTCTTGCGACGAGCGATCACCGCTCCTGTCTCTGTTCAGTTGACCATCTGAAGACGCATGCTTCAGCTTCCGTTCCAACTGGGCAACTGCCGATTTCGCCTTGGGAATCGGCAGCCTTGCCGAGTTGGAGACCCCGCCGGGTCCCTTCGCCAAGGGCGGCTGCAGAGTCTGGCGAGGGTGCTTGTACCCTGTGCCCATCCCATTCTGCCTCAGCTCGGCGCCACGACTGAACTGCTCGATGAACGCGCCATACTGCTCCCTGCCGGAGCTGGACCTGACGATGGACTGCGAGAACCTGGTGCGCCGCACCCACGAGTAGTCCCCGTCATCCATCTCCTCAAAACCTCCGGCCAAACGGATCCCTGGTACAGTAGTTTAACAACTCGCAGCAAGAACTGAATAAAGGGGACCTAGATGAGGCAGGCGCCAGCAGGACGAGCACTAGCTGACACTAGAGCTCCGCCCAGTCCACCAGGTAGGCGCCGCATTTGATCCCTTCCAGAGGGACAGGAAATCCCCCAAACTCGACTGCTCCAATCCGACGCGCCATCCGCCGATCAGAGCCCCTCAGCCGCCTCCGCCTCCTCCTCCTGTGGCATCAGACAATAAGCAAGAACAGCGAATCAATCGACGGGGCCGCCGAACACGAGAGAAGCATAAAACGAATTCCCGGCGATTTCCCACCGCGAGCTGCTCACCATGCTCGCCCACCACGAAAACAAAGAGAACGAGAGTCTCATCGCTCGACGCAATAATCGGTGTGGTTTGGGGGCGGAAAAAAGTGTGGACCAAACCAACCAAAGGGCCGTACAAAGGTGAGCAATCGGGGACGGCGACCGGTGAGGGAGACTGAGGAGGAATGAGTGCGGAGACCGTCATTCCTCACAGCACACAGGAGGATACAGGAAAGGGAAAAAAGCGAGCGAGAGAGACGTCGCTCCCAGGCAGACGCGAGCTCTGCTGGCGGCTACCGGGTACCGGCTACCGCCCCGCCCGGGACTGGAAGCTCGTTCCGCCTTCCGCGCCGCGACAAGCCGCTCTCTCTGACGCAGCAGCAACCAGCCCATATCCACGTCAAATCGGACCGGATCAAATCCGAATCCAAATCAAACAAGGCAAATCGCAGCTGCTCCCAGTCAAAGTGGCAATCATCATGGGCACGGCTACGAAGCAGGAAGCCAACAAAGGTTCGGAAGAGCCCGAACCGTGCGAGGAACTGAAAAGGGGTGAGAGAGGGATATGCACGCACCCACGGGCACGGGAGCACCGGGGAGAGGAGGCCGGCGAGGCGACGCCGCGTGACGAAGCGGAGTCGCGGATGAGTTGACCGTCCGGCCCCCGGTTGCCAGATGGAGAAGCCTTCCTCACGCGCACCGCACGCCTCGTCAGTCGTCGTCACCGCGCAGGGCGGCGCGGGTGCGCATCCGGGGCAGATCACGGGCGGTCGCGGAGACTGACGCACGCCGGCACGCGCAGACTGCGCCTGCGCGGAAAGTTGTACGGTGGGAGGCCCGCCGCCGCTCTGTATATTCGTCCAGGTCAGGTATGGTATCCGGTGGCGGTACGGCATCGGTATCAGATGGCTCCGGCTCCGGTGATCCGATCCAAATCCGGGGTCGGTGTGCGACCGGGACGCGCTGCCGATATTTTTTATTCGTTCATTCAATTCAATTGCGTTCCCGTTGTTGGGACGTGTCCGTCGTGGGGCCTCGAGGCGGGCGACAAGTGGTCAGTTGGCACGGCGGGGCCCAGAGGCCGGCCAGTGCCAGGTGACCTCACGCCGCGCTTGGCTCCAACGCTACGCGCGGGGCAAACCGCCTCGCTTGGCGCGCGACAGCGCGCAGGCGTGCCGTGCCGACGACGCTCCGAGGTGGCCTCGCGCCTGCGCTCGCTCGGCGGTTTGTGGCGCATGGAGTTAGGCAGTTCGCAGTTGGGCCTGTTTGGTTGGAACTGTGGGGTCGTGGCAGGCCGCGATTTGGGACTGGGGCCTGGGGGGTTACGGGCGGCGGACGCGGAGCGGGACCTGGGATGGTGTGGGCTGGCCCGTGCGCAGTGCACCGAAGGAGGTAAAGTGCTGCCGTAGGAGGCCCAGTGCACGAAGTAAGGTGATGTTCGTAGGATTCCTCGTACAACCGCATCTTGGGCCAATTGAGAGTTTGAGACCATTTGCTGTGCCCATTTCCGCATGGATTGGGCTAGTTTTGTTTTGGGTCGCAGTGATTAGTTCAAACAGCCTTCCAGAGATGGGTTGAGAGAGCTAAGCCAGTTTTTATCTCCACATGGAGTTGAAGTACAATTACCCATTCATTCGTGACTGTTCCGGTTGGTTTCCCCCGTGTGCTTGGCGCAGGCAGCAGGTATCGGTCATGTAGGTTGGCGAAGGCGACATCAGATGAATCGGTCTCGTGGACGTACGATGTAGTACTAGCCCCAGGTCTCTCTGGGCCTGTATTACAGCAGCTGAACGGGCCTTTTTGTATCCGAATGATGGAATTATTTAACTAAAATATTTGTTTTCTGAGTACTACCAAACGAAATCAGAGGCATAATAGACCATTTGAATGGAAATAACTTATTCCTGGAGCTGGAGCTAGGTTGTGACCATCTACTCCACAAACTCCACTGTGAAGCTGCTCTACGATGGAGTTGGTAAAGCGGATCTGAAAAACGAGAGCAGAGTTGTGCCAAAATAGCCTTTTAGGTGGTGGTCCAATAACATATGACCCCCGAGCTTAACTATTTTGTACATGTGTCCGTATATATCGTTATAGTTTCACGTTACCATTGATCACAGACGTATTGTAGCATGCTTTCTTAAAACTGGGCTTCCAGAATCATCAACAACAATTAGAAATAAAATTATTGGGATACAATACATTGCAAACGGAACAATTCTTTCAATGACAATACATCACAAATGCAAGTGCACAAGAGAAGAATTAAACAGAACTATCCAAAGCAGCCTTGAAGATTCTCGCGCATCAACTCTGGTTGACGGTGCTTTGCTGTTTGCTCGCATGTTCTTGCGTAGCTGATCCTTCTACCACGCTTGCGTGTCCTCATTCTTGCACGGATTGTGCAGCATCACTCTTCGCACGCCCCCTCTTCATTCTCCAAAAAGTCATCGACTCGTCGTGGATAGCAGGAGTTCACTCTCCCTACGCCCCCATTCTCCAAGATTGTCGCCTTGCTCATGACTTCTTTCGTCGATCAATAGAGCACCACCGCACATGCGTGCAACACGCCACGACGGTCTTCTTCGGCCTTGTCAAACACCGGGGACGGCACAATCCCTCCCCACACTCCCGTACAGTGGTACGCCTAGCGACAGAGCCTAGCGACACAACAGAGAGTGTGCGCCACCTGATTTCCCTCTCGATACTCGTACCTCATGTGGCACCTTGGCCGACCGCAACGGTGCTACCTATGTAGTTAGTTTACGTGAAGGCGAGGAATAAAAGTAAAAACTATTTTATACATTCTTATTTTTCTATGTACTATTGGATCCATACGTTCCTCTCATAGATTCTTGAAGTACGTGAAATAGATCAGCTATTTGTTTGTTACTAGTGACTACTCTCTTCTACTTTTTTCCTATCCACGTCAGAATAGCTAGCCAAATAGCTAGCTGTTGGGATGCCCTTACATGGTTGTTGGTTAGTGAAACGTGGAGCCAGTGGCAGAGAGTGGCCGGCAGGGGCCACGCCCAACATCACTACAATATATTTTTAAGTTCCTATATAGTTTAATACTATATTTATAAAAAGGACATAATAAAAAATATTGTCATATATATTTATTGATGTCTTCTAGACTAAAATCAAATAAAACATAATTAAAATAAAATATTTTGATTCATCTAAATTGGTTGGCTTACTACATTATGGCACATTTAATGAAACTTTAGGTTTTACTAAATATGTACTTATATTTTATTATACTTTTTATTTAACTAAGCATGCACTTAACTAGTAATAACAATTTGGTGACAGTGAGTACTTTATTGTCATCAAGCTTATTGAGTGGCACTAATATTATTTATTGTAACAGAACCGACTAATTATACGAAATTAAGTAAGAAAATCATCCGTCAGAGCAGACGATTTAGCAAACTTAAGCCCGTATAACCCGGTAGTCCATGAAATCACGAAGCATTTCAAATCAACTTACATCACAGCCAAGATCGTAATAAGTTTAGCGGTCACCATCACATATTACATAAAAGTTCGCATCTCAGATACATCAGAGTTTAAACATAGTTATTACAAAACGAGTTCAAATAAAAGTAGCGGAAGCCATTTGTTTAAAACCACACACACTCACACGGAGTTCAAATACAGTGCCAGCTAATGATCATCTCCAACAAAAGCATCAGACGAGACGTAAGGAATGACCATGCCCATGGTCCTAAGCATCACCCATCGCAGGATAAAGGCAGTTGATACAGTAGCCATAATACATCTGCCCATCCGCAACAAGTGGGAATAAAACCCTGAGTACGAGAAGGTACTCAGCTAAACTTACCCGACATAACCGAAAATAAAGTGACACCAAGGATTATGAAGGGCTTTATAGTAGGGTAGCTGACTCATTTGCAAAAAAAAGCATTTTTAGCATTTCAAGAACCTTTCAAAAGCATTATTGTCAAGTTAATTATTTATAACCTGTCGACTAGATTTGCACCTACACTAGAGCAAACATGATTAAGCAAATAATGATGACCAATGATCATTAACAACTTCCATATTATCATATTCATTATAACTGTCCAAGTGTTCCATCAACATTACTACGATGAAGTCACTCAAGTCAAGTGCTCACTATCCAGGAGCGATGACGATTCGAATCGATTCCTAACCAGTTGGTGATTTATTCCTTACACAAACCTCACTCACCCGCTAAAGTGAGGTATTGATCACCGAGTCAACTATCCAGGAGTCTCGAGTTTGCCAGGAACCACATGTACCAGGGGGCCGACCGACTGCACTTTGATCTTATCATCTCGCCCCCGTGTCCTACCACACCTGCTCCGGCACAGTGCGCTGCGGGCAATCTACTCGGCCCGAATAATCTCTCAGCTTCGCGGTCGGAAGGTACTTTATCCGGCCAGCTAAATGTAAGGTATGCATTCAACATGACTCGAGGCCCAACAACGGTCGGTCCTTAATCGACACAGACGGAAAGCACTACAGTTCAAAACTCTGTAAGTCTCCGTCCGGTCTCAACTTCATTTAACACTTAGTTATACCATGACTTCATAGTCATCCAAGCAGATCCAAGTAACCACCTATAGCTCGCAGATGACAAGAAATCACCCGACTTCTACCGGTCTA